ATGAGCAAGAGCCCATTTGTGGGGCTTTCATCTTGTGTAAATGCCACACTTAATTACATGTCTTTTCATTTCTATTTTGCACAGAAGTACAGGTTCACCAAAGTCAAGCAGTTTGTAACCTGCGCGTGACCATGGTTGTAAGGCAGTTTGCAAATGAAGGTCAGATGACATATTTTGACCCATTCGAACAACCTTGACCCATTGTATCAGTAACAGGAATAACACCTGAAGGTCACTACTGCCTGCAGGAAAGTGTGAACTCCTGCAGTGGTTTTTGTTTGCTTAGTTTTGAGTGTTGGAGAACAATGTACTGGTGTGTGTATGTGTGAAAGTGTCTGCGTATGCGTATGCACTAGAGGACAGTGTTATATTGTTTTGGAGCCTTGTGGTTGGGACAGAGCTAACACCTGAATGAACCTGTCACTGCAGACACATTGCTTTTTCAGCTCCAGCGATTACACTGCACCCAAACACACTGAACAATTTTTGGGTGGTGCTTTGTACATGTGTGTATGTGTAAGTGTGTGTGTGAAACAGGGAGAGGAGTGTGTTACTTGTGCACTGCCTGTGTGCAAGTGTCTGTGAGTGTGAGAGAGACAGGAACAGATAGCAAGAGTGACAGAGCGTTGTGTCTCAGAGTGTACATGTCTAAACTACTGCTGTGTGTTGGGTTTCACCCAGGAAAATATGAAATAGGGCTACTACTGTGTCCTTCGGGGTTTAATAATGAGTCATTTTGAGGAATATACACATGAACATGCATACATAGGGGATGGTAGACAATGGCAGTATTCAAAAATTCAAAGACATCAAAACCTTAATTCAAGTGAAAAACAGAGGATTGCTCCTGAATATTTCATATGCAAAAAACACTAATGGAATTGGACTTGATAGTTAAGAGGATGTTTCAAGTCCAAAGATATTGATATCATTACCTCATGCTGCATTCATATCATATTGGAGGAACAGTATTAGATTAACACATCAACATCTACCCATCCATCAGTCACTTCCTCAGTGCTTGTCCAGGGTTGTAGGGATCAGTTCTCATAAGGTGAGAGGTGAGCAACACCAAGAAAGGTCTGTTGCATAAATCTAGTCAGTTAGTATTAATTTTTAGACAGTATGTAGCATGGTGGTTAGCACTGGTATCTTACAGCAGAAAGGTTTTGGGGGGTTTTCTGTTTTTTGCTGTGTCTGCATGGGTTTTCTCCAGTACTCCAGCTTCCTCCCATAGTCCAAAGACATGCAGTTGGTGGAATTAGTTAACTGGTGATTGTAAAGTGTCTGTAGGTGTAACTGGTTGTCTGTTTCTGCGTTAGCCATGCAACAAACTGGTGACCTGTCTAGTGTATACCCCACCTCTCCCATTATGTTAGCTTGGATAGGCTCCGTCAACAGTGAGTGGCATAAGTGGAAGATGATGCATAGAAGGATTGTGGAAAACACCAACATCAATTTAGAGGAAAAGCATATAGCACTGTGCAAAAGTCTTTAGCCACTCCTCACTTCTTTATATGTGGTAGGAAAATGAGAAATAGGTGCAGCAAGCTATTACAACTTCTGCAAAAATAAATAGGCTTCTGATGAGGCTTCAGTGAACAGTAGACAGATCAACTGAAGAGCCAGATGCATCTCTTAAATCCTGTGTCAGGTATAGCCTTCGACTGAAAATCAGTGAAAAAACAGCTAGTTTCCAGAAAAAGCCTTTGAAAGACCTTCAGAGCACCTGAAGAACTAATAGTCAAGACCATTTTAAACAATTACAAGAATGTCAGGCTTCTTGGAAGGAAAATAAATACATGTAATGGGTTATAGTAGTACAGGATCTAAGGCTAAAACAGAGTTTGAAAGTCAATATTTCAAATGAAAACCAGGCTTCTTGAAGAACATCTGGAGCTCTTCTTTGGATGGTCACTGCATTTTGTGCCGAGATGATCTGACACCGCTTTAGTAATGTTGAGGTCTAGGCTCTGAGAATTATAGTCCATGATGGATAGTGTTCCACTTTGTGGTTTTTTTTTTCTATCCAGGTATGCTTTCAATGCATTGGTAATATATTTAAGATCATCGTCATGCTGAAAAATGAAACCATTACCAATCAGACGTTTTCCAGATGAAATCCAATGGTGGATTAAAATCTGACAGTACTTTTCTGTTTTCATGATTCCATCAGTTTTTACAAAATCCCCAACGCCACTGGTTGAGATGCAACCTCAAACCATGACAGAACTTTGAGCGTGTTTTACAGATATCTGTAGAAACTCACCATTGTGCAGTTCTTCTGATCTCCTACATAAATACTAATATATACAAAAAAGGTGAGTAAAAGTAAATCAGAAATTCCAATTTTCATTCAACATTCCATAAGGCCTGTTGCCACTGATTTTTTTGTTCAGCACTTCTGTAACTGGGCATACCTCAGCTTTTTCTCCATGTTTCTCGTAATGGTTTAATTGAGAACTTTACTGATGAGGCTTCAGCAAGCAGTAGACAGATTAAGTGAAGGGACAGATGCATCTCTCAAGTCCTTGTCAGGCATAGCATTGGACTGAAAATCTGTGAAAAAGCAGCCAGTCTCCAGTGAAAGACCTTCAGAATGCCTAAAAAACTATTGCTCAACACCATCAAGTCAGGCTTCTTGGAAGCAGATTTCATGTAATGGCTTACACATGGTTTGCATGCAGGATAAGTTAAAAGCAGGATAAGTAATAAATAAAATTGTCCTGTTTCTAGACTATATGGTTCACTAAGTAAGAAACCATTTTAGCTGTACTATGATGTTGTGTTAGGCTTGTTAAGAGACAAAGTAAGGCGGACAGATTTGCAGAGATAGATGAAACAAAAGCAGGTCAAGGGGAGCTGACACCCATCAGCTTTCTCTCCTTAATCTATCAGTGTAACACATCTCTTGCCCCATCTCCCTAGACACAATGACATGCCAGATATCACAGGCCCTCAGCAATTGGCTTTGTCATGGCCTTTAACCCATGCGGATCTATATGTGTGTGTGTGTGTGTGTGTGTGTGTGTGTGTGTGTGTGTGTGTGTGTGTGTGTGTGTGTATGTGTGTGTAGTAGATGGTGCTTTAAAACACAAGCTCAAAAATTAATTTACAGCTGCTCTTTCTTTGTAATGTTCCACTAGCCACTGAACACATGTAAATCTGTGCTTGTGTTTGTGTGTTTGCTGAGGTTGGGTGTTAATAAAGACGAGAAACAGAGAATCCTTAAAAATAGAATTAGACATATAGCCACACAGAGAGTTTTCAGTTGTTAAAATGTAGATGAAATATCAGTTATTATCCTGTGAAATCATTGGCTCTGGTGTATTGCAAATGTTATCTCCAAAATGCAACCCAGGAAACCTTTTCTGTTCTACTTGCTATGAACCGTAAAGTGGGTATCTGTGACTTCTATCTCGATGCAGAAATTTACACACATATTACAGGTAGCTTTTCTATTTAATACAGGTCTGATGTTTCTCTTGCTCTGTGTGTGACATCTTAAAGTGGGAAAAACACAGCATTTTATGACACTTTTGTTGTAGATTTTTCTTGTCGTTCATTTATCCCAACTCTGACCACAGTGTTCACTACTGACACTGACTTTCAGACACCACACTCTATTTCAAAGCTGGCTGAAGTCTAGAAGAAGAAGAAGATGCAAAGAATTTGTGTGGTGACAAATGATAGAATGGTCTGTAATTCACAGTAGCAGCAGGTAGAATCAGGATGTCTGACAGGCAAGGAAGCAAAGCAGGTAATGACAGTCTGAAAAGTTATAAGGGCATGATGTGCTGCAGGAATCCAAGTTGTCAAAATGACAGACACATTTCTGTGGATACAAATGAGGACATGAATCGGGATGTATGTGAAGAGAAGATTTCTTAAGTTGCAGTAGTTTCCCAGGTAGAAAGTTTTAAGTGAATCAGTTACTGATGCGCGCAATACCAAAAGTTTATTAATGGTTAGGTTAATCGGGTAAACTTTTTACATCAGTTTGTTCTTATCTCAAAGAGCAATTTAATACCACATTTTCAGATACCTAATGCTACACACTATTATGCAGTTGGGGCCCTGTGGCATTGGTACTGACATGCTATCTATGGCAATGTCAGCCACCAGGAGCCACGGTATCTCTATTAGAGAGCCACAAATCTGTATTAGGAGGTTGAAGAAGTGTTAGTGACATATACTGGGAGTTCGTTTTCTTTCTTTCTTTTTTTTGCAAAGTTGTTCAATTTTTCACCTTTTTTCAACCGAAATTGTTCTTTTTTTTCTTACTTTTTAGGTTTAAGCACTGCAAACTACTTGTTGAGGTTTGGCACAACAACATGTTTTAGGTTAAAACACACACGCCTCCACAGCAATAACTGTGATGATTGACAAATAATGATTTAGGGGTTACAGATCCCTCCCTTAGCTCTGGGGCACATAAACCAAAGGACACCTTGTGCATAAATGAGCCACACCAGCAGCTGTGATAAACAGTGCTAAGCGATGATGTGGGAATTAGAAAAGGTTTGTCCGTCAAGGCAGTTATCCAAAGGGTGTACATTAAATATGCAGTTTTACTTTAAACAGTAGGATCTCGAGCAAGTTTGTAAGACTTAATACCTGCTTAGCTAAGATGTGTAGCCCATAATGAGGTTCTGTTCTGATATGATATGGAGTTTCTGATAATGACATTGCTTTGTATTAAACACTGTTTTTCTTTGTTCTTTAAAACATTTGGTCATTATCATTTTCATAAGCAGTGGTAGTAGTGTTTGGTCAGTGTCAGGAATTGTGACTAGCTCAAGGGTACCCATTCTGAATATTTTAAAGAACAAATAAATTATTCTACCATATAAAAATAATAACTGTAATCTACGTATTATATTGGTCTCCACTGCCTTTGTGTTAGTATGTTAGTGATGTCTAAATCCATAGAGCATCCTATAAAGACAGCAAATATTTCTAATATCTCTAACATCTCTAACCACTGTTTGTCTTTGCAGTTTAGAAAGTCCTTCCTATGAGGTGATGCAGCTCGACTTTGAGGTGGATAACGTGATTAACCTGGTGCCAACCCAGACTCTACACTGGAGCGTTGAATACCCAGCTGGCACACAGACAACTTCCAGGCAAACAGAGAAAGTTTCACACCTCTATATCAGCAGCGCCGACATACAGGGCATCGTACCACTGGCTGAGGTAAGGGATGATTTGATAGATGAGTACAGATATAGATATCTATGAGCATACATATTGACATTCCCAGCAGCACACACTTGTTACATTTGCTGGAATAGACGTAATTTTTCCCTCCATTTCCCTCCTCCTTCTAACCTTCTTGCTGACACCCCCAGCCACCTCCTTCCTCTAGGGTGATCAAAGCTGGAAAGGTCAACTTGTTTACCCCCTCCTGTTGCTACAAGCCTCCCGGTCTCTCTCTCTTACTCTCTCTCTCTCCCACCTTCTTAGACAGACACACAGCAGTTTTTTTTCCTCACAGGTTTCAAAATAATAAGCAGCCTCACAAGCAGTCATGCAGATTGACAGACTGACATAGAGTCACTCACACAGACCTTGTAATAACAATCATTGCCTAAAATTCACAGATGCCCTTACTTTCACTTCCCTATTGTATCCTGTAGGTGTCCTTCCTTGTAATAATTAAATACAAAGGCTGCCCTTTATACATATGTAAATTGAGCTCAGTTCAGTTTTGTTTATATAATGCCAAATCACAACAACATTCACCTCAAGGCACTTTCTATTCTAAGGTGAAGACCCTTCAATAATACAGAGGAAACTCTAAAAAATCTAAACGAAAAAATCTAACACTCCTCTATGAGCAAGCACATGGCGACAGTGGGAAGGAAAAACAACCCTTTAACAGGAAAAAATATCTGGCATCTGCCTGATGCCTTTATTGGTGTTTATTGGACTGGTGGTCCTCTGCCATGACCATTTGGAGTTGAGGGGAAAACCTTCCATGTTGCTAGACTTTAAAAAGCACTGACATTAGCAACAAGTCTTCAGAACAAAACCAAAGGATTAAAAATAGGCATTTATTTATTTATTATACACTTGGAAAATGAGAGGAAATAATCTAATGCTAATAACATATTGGCACTGTAAATTAGCTGTAGTGGGCAGCAGGCCATACTAGGTAGCAAATGTGAAAGATCATAGCAAATGTTACACAAATACTTTAATTAAACTCTTAATTAAACCTTTTATGGGGTCCAGTCAAAAACAGCCAAGCACTATTCCATTCATCCATCCATCTTCTTTTGCTTATTTGCATATCTTTTGATATGCAAGCCTATCCCAGCTTGCATAGGGTGCGATGCAGGGTATAGCCTGGAGAGGTCGCCAGTTAATCTCAGGGCCAGCACTAATTGATGCATCCATCCATTTTATTTTGCTTATCTAAATCAGGGTCGCGGGCCATGAAGCCTGTCCCAGCTGCTATGCAAGAGCCAGTGTGGTTCCAGCACTAATTCAAATTCTGTTAAATAATATGATATGTTTAATTTACATTTAATTATAATTTTTTAACTTTTGTTGTTTTTGTTTTTTTGTTTTTTGTTGCTTGCATTATTTATTTGAGTTTTCGTTGAGTTCTTTGAGATTTATAAGTACAAGGAAATGAACAAAAATAGTTACAGTGTATAAAACCTACATATCTATTTGGAGAAGTAAAACAAATTTCACCGTAAATGAGTAAAATTATCTTTTACTCTTTAGTACTGTAGATTTGGTGCATACAGAGAGAGACAGAGAGAGAAAGAAAAAGAAAAAGACTCATAAAGTTAAATTTAAAACTGTCTGCCTGCAACATTTCTATTAAGACAAAATATCCCTATTACAACATACACTGGAAAGCCCAAACAGCTCTGGCTAAAGCAACCAAGAACCCTTAGGCTAAAAAGCGAGGCGGGGAATGCTTTTCAAAATGCTCCTAGTTCCATTACCACTGAGGTAGAGCTAATCTGCCCTGATAGCCCTCCTTCAAACAGCAAAGCCCTAGTGACAAAACCCAATTTTGTTCAGGTCTCTGCACCCCCTGTCTTTTTCACACACTGCAAAAAGCAAGCTTGAAACCATCATTTCGAATAGCAGGGCTGTTGGGATTTTGCTTTGCTCAGTGTGAATGGAACGTCAGGATGAGCTACAGCTTCTGACACTCTACACTTTATAACATAACCGAAGATTTTTTTTATCACTGTTATTATTAGAGTGATGGATATTTACTTATATAAAATTTACATTAAACATAAATGACATTACTACATCTTTTATTACAAAAAGGCTTCCTTTTTGGGTTGGGGTTTTTTTTGCCCCCGATTGTATCATAATAAATATATATAATTCAGAATTCATTCATGTATATAATTTATATATAATTCAGCTTTTGTGAACATAAATTAGGTGTTGTGGGAATGAAAAGCAAAATTATTTTATGCCTTTATAATGTGTTATAAGTGCAAAACTGCAAAAGTTGGTCATTTTAGTTGATTGCTGGGTTGTTGCTATACACAACATAATGATGGCATAATGACTGACATGGGTGTACAAATGTTTGGTTCAGTTCATTTTAAAAAACATGATTTGTATTTATAGCCATATTTTTTATGGTGGTCCTATCATTATTATTATTGTGAATATAAAAACTATACTGTATACTGCAGCAAAAAATGTAACTTTTTTTTTAACTCTGATAAATAAATGCTTTAAATGACTAAATTATTAGAGAATTCTACATTTAAAAAAAAATCCTTGGAAGGTTATAAAACGGAAACACACAATTGTCTGGTGTTTAGTTAGGGTCATTTAATCTCAAATTAGCCAAATTAGCTCCGAACATTGAGCACCTGAAAACAACCCATTCTTTTACAAATGTTTGTACTACCAGTCTGCATGCCAAGGTTTTTGGTGCGTTTATACATCTGTGGTCGTGGACGTGATTGGAACGTCTGAATTTCTATGAGTTAGATGGGTGAGTGAGTACTTTTGGCAAGATGGTGTGTATTAAAATGGTTGTTAAATTCCAGCATCATACATTTAGCTCTTTGAGATATTCATGTTCAAAAACTGCCTCAGATTTCAATGTGCAAAAAAGTTGACTGACCATTTTTGAAAAATATATATCTTTGTTTTGATACATGAAACTAAAATTTGATAACTTTGAAACATAAAAATGTTATGCAAATTGGAGATGGTCAAGTATACGACCTGTTTTGATTTCAGACACAACAACCTGTTGTTGTGATTAGAAGTTATCAACATGACTAAGAATGATTATATGTAACTGAAGCAGTTTTCTAATTGCCTCCAGCATTACATGGATAAAAAAATACATCTGTTGTCTCTGTCAATCCTAACTCCTAGTTACACACACAAAGAAATGTATTTGTATCTACACATGGGCACAGACATTTTTTCTTTCCCTCCCTCTATCTCTCTTACGCCCCTCTCCTTAGGTAAAAGCATCAAAAATGGCTGCTATTACGAGCCATTTGGGCTTCCAAATTTGTTTACCAGAACTCCTGACCAGGTCTTGATTGCTGGTTGGTTATTTAAGGTGACTTTCACTGAGAGGGGTCTTACCAGAGCCAAGATGAAAGCTCCAACTTTTCTGGGTTTTCTTGGAGAGAAGGAATGATAAAAGAATAAAATTATGAGCTGCTAGTGAATCTTCAAAAAGAGCTGGATGAAAATGCTTTCACACTATCATCTATCCTTTTTTTTCTATACAATTTCACATCTGGAAAACATGAAATCCTTCTCACAGCTGTTTAAACAGCCTAAAAGCTAAATATGATGTAACCTTTCATCACAAGCACTCTAGACTGACCTTAAAGCATAATTTCCTAGCCATTTGTTTGGTTGATTTAACTCCACTTTATCCATCTTCTACCAGCCTCCAAATCAAAAGTCAGCTTATCAACAGGTCTGATGTGATAGTGCAGTGTATTCTATTTTACAAGGCAGCAATGAAAAACAGAGCCCTGGCTGTCATTACCAAAGCCCTCTCCGACATTTTCCTCCTAATTCCATATATCCATTACGGTTCTGGTCTGTTGCCTGAGCTGGAAAGAAAGAGGTCCTCTTCAGGAAACGATGGATTATTAGGAGTAATTTATCTCCTGTAGGGGTGGAAAAATTGGTTTCATCTTTTACAGAGGAGAGGTGACTGGGGCAGAAACAGTTGTTAGGGAAAGAAGAGTTACAAAAGAGAGCTATATAGAAATAGAGACAGAATGGCAGAAATTAGCAACAAAAATTGGGATTCAATTTAAGACAGTTAGCATTTGTCTAGCAAAAGATTGGCATTGATTTCTGCCAACGGTTAGATCAAGAACAAAACACAGATTAATATTAACTAAGCAATTTACAATACCTTGTAATCCAATGTCAAAAAACGGGAACAAATCCAATTCCTGTCACTGACTTCTCAAACAAACCGTCCATCATAAAATTCGCAGAGCATTTGCTGAATAGGAGCAAAGAGGACTTTGAATTTATTGCCTAAGGAGAACAGCAGGGTGGAGGAAAAGAACTGCAAAGAACCCTGAAAACTCTGAATAGTGAATATGTGAATTTCCTATTTTGAAAAGTGGGTTGTCATACTTGAATGGACCCACAGTGATGGCCAATGGTGGCCTTTATTTGTCCCAGACAGTCCTCTCAAATCTGACGGTGAAAATTTTTCTGAAGAATATGGGCAATAAACCCGTTAAAGCTTAGATTAGGATGTAGTAACACACACTGCGTTCACATTTTAAGACAGTCAATTCACCGCCTATTGCCTCATGTAAGTAACTTTGGCAATTGTGCTGTTTGCATTAAATCCATATGTTTTGTTCACTTTAGGTGGTAATATCAAAAAGTGTGATAAGAACCATACACGATGTCTGTATGTCATGACATGGGTTGTAAGAAAGGAGTTGTATCTGCTGTTTTATCTGAAGTGTATTGGATGCATAACCTAATTGCTATGAATTAAAAGATGGCACTGAAGACTTCAGTTATAAAATGTCCAAATGAAATAAGCCTTAAATACCTTTTTGAAGCTTTTTGAAGTGTAAGTCAACATAAGTCTTAGTTTCTGCACTTGTTTACTTGAGGATCTCAGAGAAAACATATCTGAAATAGCTGCAAAGTTTGACTGCACATTGTTATTATTCCAACCAAAATGTCCT